TAATCCAATTATAGTTTAAAAGAAATTATAGTTTTTAACACCATTGTTTTATTTTATATTTTTATAAAAATGCCAAGACGAAGAGTAGAGCGTACCTTAGAAGAAGAAGAAGAATTTCAACGACAACGTCGTAAAAAAAATGCAGAGTATCAGAGACGTTATCGTCAAATTAAAAAAATAAATAATATTTCAAAAACAAATAATTTAAGAAATCATGCTGTTGATATAGCTGGCACAATACGTAATGATCAAATAATTGAATTAAATGATGAAATTGGAGGAAATGTTTCCATAGTACATCAAATTACTTCTGATTTAATACATAATCCTGTAATAGAATTGGATGAAGAAATAATTGGAGAAAATTTAATAAATATTATACCAGTATCTCAGCAACGTCATGCTGATTATCAATCTGGTTATCGGTCACGAAAAAGACAAATGCATCGTTTAGATAGTAATAGAATGTTGATTGAAGATATAAATGAACATTACATTGGTTTGATGAATGTGACCTGTATTCATTGTAATGCAAAACATTTTACAGCTGAAAAAATAAATAATAAAGGAAATTCATTTCACGATTGTTGTAATCACGGTACGGTTTATTTGGAATCATTACAATTTCCACAATTTCTTCGTAGTTTACTTGATGGTAGCCATGAAAAATCCAATAATTTTTTCAAACATATTCGTAGTTATAACAGTTCATTTTCATTTGCATCATTTAATGCTAATTTAATTAATTTTCAAAATAGACGACCAGGGCCATATTGTTTTAAAATACAAGGACAAATATATTATCAGATAAATACAGCATTGTATGCTGCTCAAAATGAAAATCCGACTTATGGACAGCTTTTTATTATAGATTCTAATGAAGCAGTAAATTATCGTCTTACTGAACATTCAGAGTTAGATTTTGAAATTGTACAAAATCTTGAATGTATAATGCGAGAATCTAATGTATTTGCCTTGTCTTATCAAATGATGGGTGAAGAATTAGAAAATCAACGACGATTAGAAATAGAATCTGGATCGTTATTGCCAGAATTACAATTATTATTTACGTTAAAACCAGGTATGGATCGACGACGATATAATGCTCAAAGAACTAATGAAGTTGCTGCTGTTTTTTGTACAACTGCTGATGGAGAAATTCCAGAATCATATGTAACAATACGCAACAGAAATACTAAAACTTTACAAAATGTTAGTACTATGGATCCAAATGTTGAACCGTGGATATATCCATTATTTTATCCATATGGTACTCAAGGGTGGCATTGTCATTTAACAAAATTAAATAGTAATAAACGAATAACTAGAGGACAATATATTAAATATCGCATGGCTATTCGTAATGAATTTAACGGTTTTTTATTGGGTCGTCGTTTATTACAACAATGGCTTGTAGATAAGTACGTAAAAATTGAAAAGGATAGAATAAATTATTGTAAAAATCATCAAAAAGAATTACGCACTGAAACATATCAAGGTTTAAGAGATTATATGCAAACTATGGCTAATAATTTAAATGGACGTATTGGAAAAATGGTAATACTTCCATCCACATTTATTGGATCACCGCGTAATATGATACAAAATTATCAAGATGCAATGGCAATTGTTAGTAAATTTGGTAAATCAGATCTATTTATTACAATGACTTGTAATCCAAAATGGCGTGAAATTGAAGAAAACCTTTTACCTAATCAATAAGCTTCTGATAGACCCGATATTTGTGCTCGCGTTTTTAATATTAAAAAAGATTATTTAATTGATTTAATTGTTAAGTAAAAATTTTTTGGAGAAGTGGCAGCTTTTGTATATGTCATTGAATTTCAAAAACGCGGTTTACCACATGTTCACATGTTAGTTACTTTAAAATATAATTTTAAAATAACCACTCCACAAATTGTTGACAAATATACTTCTGCTGAAATTCCTGATCCTTGTGAAAATCGTCCCCTACATAACATAGTTATGAAACATATGATTCACGGACCCTGTGGTGATTGGTGTTTAATGGATGGAAAATGTTCAAAACATTATCCTAAATCATATCTTGAAGAAACCAGAATGGATAAAGATGCTTATCCTTATTATCGTCGACGAAATAATGGTAGAAATTTTGAACGACCTGGTGGATATATAGTAGATAATCGTTACGTAGTTCCATATTGTCCTATTTTATCCATTATTTTTAATTATCACATAAATGTTGAAGTAGTTTCAAGTATTAAATCGATTAAATATTTGTATAAATATATTTACAAAGGACACGATGTTGCTGCTATAACAATTGAGCCAATAACAGAAAATGTAATCATTGATCATAATGAGATACGTGATTTTATAGAAACTCGTTATGTTGGACCTGTAGAAGCTACTTGGCGTATTCTTGAAAAGAAGCTACAAGATAAAAGTTATGCTATTATACGTTTGCCTGTACATCTTCCTAACGAACAAAATATTATAATTGAAAATGAAATAATTGAAGAAGCAATGACTTCTGCTTTAAATCAAGTTACGATGCTAATTGATTATTTTTCATTAAATTCTCGCGATGAAGAAGCACGACAATATTTATATGTAGAAATTCCACATTATTATACGTTTAAGAAAGAGAAAAGTAATGGAAGAAATTTATCACGTTGGGTTAAACGCAAAAATCATTATAATTGTATAGGACGAATGTATTCTGTTAGTCCAACACAAACAGAATTATTTCATTTACGATTATTATTACTTACTATAAAAGGAGCTACAAGTTTTAATGATTTAAGAACTGTAATTGGAGAAGTATATCAATCATTTTCAGCAGCATGTTTAGCTTTAGGTTTGATTGAAAATGATGATGAATGGAGACGAGCAATGAATGAAGCTGCTGAATGGATGATGCCAAGACAACTTCGTAGATTATTTGTACGTATATTATTACATCGTCAACCACTGCATCCTGAAGAACTTTGGGAAAATTTTAAAGTCGCAATGTCAGAAGATTATTCACGACACTTTGGAATATTACAAGGCCAACAAAAAGCTTATGCACAAATTGGTACTATTGCTGAAGGTAAAAGTTTCACTGATTTTCCACAAATGGAACAATTGATAGAAAATTATGAGGAGGAAAATTATATAACGCTTGAAGATGCTATGGAAATTGGTACGAAACAATATAAACAGTTAAATAACAAACAGAAAGTAATAGTAGATCTTATATTAAATAGATTAGATAATATTAATCATAACAGTAATTGCTTTTATATTGATGGTCCTGGTGGTTCTGGTAAAACATTTACATATACAACTATCTATTATTTAGCCAAAATTCAAAATAAACGTGTATGTACAATGGCTTTTACAGGTATCGCAGCAACATTATTACCAGCAGGAAAAACGGTTCATAAAACTTTTGGCTTACCAGTTCCATTATTTGCTGATTCATCATCTAGCATTAAAATTCAATCAAAAGAAGCTCAATATTTGAGAGAAACAGATATTTTTATTTGGGATGAAGCGCCAATGGCACCACGATATGCTCTAGAAATTATAGGTCGAACGTTACGTGACATTATGAATAATAATTTACCTTTTGGTGGAAAAATTATCATATTAGGTGGTGATTTCAGACAACTTCTTCCTATTAAATTACATGGTACTCGAAGTGAAATCGTTAATCTTTCCATCAAGTTTAGTTATGTTTGGAAATACTTTACAAGTTTCTCTTTATCAAAAAATATGAGAGTTCTTCCAGAAGAAAATGAATTTGCAAAGTTCCTATTAAATATGGGAGACGGCGTATTAAATGATTCTACTAACCATAATGTACATCTTCCAGATAATTGTATTGCATCCATAAATGCTAATATTGCAGAAGATATATATGATGAATTAATACGAAATAAAGAATTCAATAAAATGGCGAAGTGTGCAATACTTTCTGCAAGAAATAAAGATGTAGATGAAATTAATATACAAGTTGTCGAATTGCTAGATACATTAGAAGAACGAATTTATACAAGTATAGATAGTACTGAAAATTGCAGTGATAACGATGAGATTAATGAAGTCATACTACCAGAATATTTAAATAGTTTATCTCCATCATCTCTTCCTCCTTATAAATTACGTTTAAAACCAAATTGTATCGTTATGTTGATACGAAATCTAAGTATCAATGAAGGTCTTTGCAATAGCACCAGATTAATGATTATAGAGCTAGCTGATCATTTACTAAAATGCAAAATTTTAACTGTTGATAAAGTAGGAGATATTGTATTTTTAAACCGTATAACATTATATTGCGAAAATGTATACCCTTTCACTTTTAAAAGAAGACAATTTCCAATAAAATTAGCTTTTGCTGTGACTATTAATAAATCACAAGGTCAGACATTTGACAAAATAGGAATAGATCTTCGCAAAGATGTTTTTAACCATGGACAACTTTATGTTGGTTTTTCACGAGTACGTTCTTGGCAAGCATTAAAAATTTATCTTGGTAGTCAACGGGAAAATAAACAAATTAAAAATTATGTATATAAAGAAATATATATATAATTCCTTTTCTTTTTTATACATATATCAAATTGAAATTTAATGAAATATAATGAAATTTAATTAAACTAAGACTAAACAAGGACTAAACAAAAGAGTATATATTGAAAAATGAAAAGCTCAGTAGCGCGCGCGTAGCGCGCGCTTGTTGTATTCTAGTTAATAAAAATATTCGATATATTTTTAATTTATGATTTAGCAATATTTGTTTACATACTCTTTATAATTATTAAATTCCATCATTTCTATATTTTCGATATTTCTTATGTGGTGCGCTATGTTAATCATTGCACTATTGCGTTCTTTTACGTTCTTCTGTACTCTTGCACTTGTGAAAATGTCGACTGTACTAGTACCGTTCCAGTGCAGTCCTAGTGCAGCGAAAAAGAACAAACCTATTGTTCTCGTGCCTTTAGATTTCACGTCCGGGTGCTGGGATGGGAAAATTTTTGATCGCAAATATACATTTTTAATTCCTCAATGTTCTCAGAGATTGTGTTCGCACCTTTACTTTTGTTTTGAAACGCTTCGACATACGTACATAATTTTCGGTCACATGTATATATGAGTGATCGTCAATTGTTTCGCTCCTGGAGCGATCCAAACTTCAACCATATCGTTACGATGCATTGTTCGCATCTGTTTTCATTAAAGTCACTAGATTTATAAAGTACCGCAATTGATTTCAGAAATGTTGCGTTAAAATGGCCGAAGTGCACATAGTAGACGATTTGAAGTACACAATCAATTGGATCAATTGGATGCACACACGTTTGCCGAATAAGAGCCTGAGCACAAAGATTGTCGTGGATTACCGTAGACCAGGAGTCCATAACAGATTTTTTGGGCATCATAGTATTCAATTGGAGACCTATATTACTTTACTATTACAGTATTGGAGACAACGGGAGACCAATTGGCATACGTGTACAGTGGATGTATTTGTTAAGGGCAAATTTTCAAATAATTATTTGTATTATGAAAAAAATATTACAATATTCAGTCTGAAAATTGTACCAATCTCTGAAGAAAGAAAAAATACCCGACTGACTAAATTGGCATACCTCTAAAGTGGATGGAAGAGGTCGGCATAACGGCGCAAAGTAAGCTCTTAGAACATATGCTCGGGTATGACAGTATTTGTGTTGCCATTTGGTAAACAATTACATTTTTGCGTAAGTTAATGGAATATACCATTGGCATATTGCTCAGGTGAAAAGATCGCTATGTCGATTTAAAGACGTGCGTCAACACAGTTGATCAGGTATGATAGTATTTGGTATGCTATTTGATTTTCTAATTATTTATTGCATGTACCATAAAAACCATAATTGCCATACTTATTTGTTGGATGCATATGCTGCCATACTCGAAAAAGGCTGAAAAAGTGCTTATAAACATGACAGTATGTTTTAAATTGAAGAAAACTGTAATATTATTCCATTATTTTAGTATTTGCGTAATTACAGAATAAAAAAATATTTACAGTTATCTTGATAACAAAAAAGTATATTTTTTTCCGTTGCTTTTGAATGTTTATTTAAAAACTTGACAGATTTTTCAATAAACTTAACAAATGTTTTGTACTGCCTGGATAAGTATAACTAATAGTTTTTTTAACATGACCGGAGACACTATGCGTCTCCTGATAAATTAAAGTATATTACACAATTATACATTATATATACATATATAAATTTGTATTCTCAAAAATATAAGTTTTCAATGAAATAATTAATTATCTGTTTGTTATTAAAAACAACGTACACAATTAAAAAGAAAATTTATGTCTAAAATAAGTAAAAATTAATAAAGTCTTAATTATAATAATATATTAATTTATTAAATAAAGATACATATATAATATCGAAACTAGTTTCTATTTTACTAGGTCTTTATCAGTCGACAATAATAAATTCAATATCTTTTTTTACGCGTTAAATACAGAGAAGTAAAACTAAAAACACTAGAGTAGGATAACTTTTTACAATTATTATTATATGGTATTTCTGTCTCGTAACCCAATAGCACAAAACATTGTCAAAGGCATAAAACATTAATAAAAATTCTTTTATATGCACAAAATGTTGCCTATTACGAAAATATTATACAATACATATTGTCATTGATTTGCTACAATATATAGACTTTTATTATAATAGATTAAGTCAATTATATTAAAAAATAATGAAAAATAAAAAGTTCTAACGAGCCAAAAGTTCGTTAAAATATAAAATTGTTAGTAAATAAAAATTGTCATTTAGTTAAAATTACATAGTTTAATTAGACAACAAACAATTCGACCTTTGAAAACGTTTGTGTCTAATTAAACTATGTAATTTTATCTAAATGACAATTTTTATTTACTAATAATTTTATATTTTAACGAATTTTTGACTCGTAGTCCTTTTTCATTATTCTTAAATTTATTAAGCCTTATCACAAATATATTTCAATTATATTAAATAACAAGAATAGACAGGCTAATAGAGAGTCCTTTCAGCTATTATTGGTGCGATATATAAGATATGTTAAAATGTGAATATTATATACTACGTAAGTAGTTAACCCCCCATTGCGCGCCGAACGTTCGTCGAACTTAAAACGCAACTCTAATCAACTACCGTAGTAATATCACAATTATTTTTTTGATGCATTTAGCATCTAAAATGGATCTTAATAATATGTTGAAAGACATATTAAATTCTTAAATTATAATATTAAAGTAGAAATAAATCTGAATCTAAGAAAATTAAGAATTGTGAAGAACATCACGAGTTGGCGTTTCGTCCCGGCTTCCACTACTGGACTCATCAGTAAGGTAATGTAGTGG